CGAGGAGTGGTTCAGTCCTGAAAGCCAAATGGAATAAATATTTCACAAATTTTGAAAAAAATATTCCCAGTTTATTTCTTCCATTTATTCTAAAAGGAAGAAATCTAGTGCAATCAACCTAAAGTTGTCACACTAGAGGAACGAATGATTCGGATATTTTGAATTTACTAATTGTGAAATGACAGAATGGCTAGCAGATTTTACGGATGCATAACAAAAGTTCATCCACAAATGAATTTCACGCCAATTTTGCAAGTGTGAAGGGTTAATAGAATTTTCGTAATTGTGGAAGCCATGCATTACTTTCAAAGGGATGTGCGATTGACTTACCTCCACGTGGTGCACCCTGGGCAACGTATTCTCATACGGCAAAAAAGTCTATTAACCGGCAGTTGACTTCTGACTTCAAACTACCATCACCCCACTGTATGCCATATTCGACCCCTTTCACAGTTCTCATCTTACCTTTTTCTACCTTTTCTACATTCGTCTTTGAAACACTCTTCTGTCCCTCCCCCCTCTCGATTTTTTTTACTTTGATGTTCCTTCCCCTCTGTGAAGCCTGAAGTCAACTAAATGGCTAATGATAACTATCAAAACGCCTGCCATTTGATATAAATTAATAAATACTTTCAAATTTTTTGAATAAATATTAAGATAGTGTATTTAAATCAAAATTTTTAGAGGCAAAACACCAGAATTCATTATACTGTTTGCTGACAAAGTTGATTGAATTCTTAATTAACCCACATGACTTTAAAAACGTGTTCAGCTCTTTTTTAGGGTAGTGAATATATTCCCTTAGTTTTTAAACAAAGCGAGCGCCAAGGAATAACGTCTGTCATAATTCCAGCTCATTTATGATGGAATAATAAAAGTATATTTGTACTTTATGAGAATGGGCAATAAACTACACCCACTAATATAAGCCATTTTACAATAGCATTTTAAGTCATTCACTAGTCATCTATTTAAAAAGCTTACCTGCGAATTTCTGTGGACTTTATTAAACAAGTAAGTTTATCTGGAAATTTGCAGTTTTGTTGATTTCGAACACTTTAGGGGTTCGTTAACATAAAATCAAATTTAAACTCTATTAAATAGTTAAATTATATCGTGAAATAGTAAGCAGTATACAGAAGGTGCAGGCAATTTCACATTTTCCTCATATTTTTTTGCCCAGAATATTTCAGCTTTTCCTTTTGCGAAAGTTGGGTGCAAATCTACTTTATATTATGAGTTATATTCAATTACTTAAGGGTATATTTTTATTTGCTCATGCTCATTAAAGAGTTCAAATTTTAAATTATGTTAGCAAAGTTTGAATAAGAATAAATGTCTACTAGGAGTTATTAAGTCTAATCTGGCGGAAAACTCATTCTCCTTGCATAATGAAAGATATGTTCAAGTCAATCTTAACAATTTAGTTTTGAAACAGACCGCATAATGTTTTTCTCGTAATTTCCATCGATATTTTGAGGAATTAGAGAAAAGCACTCGAGAAATTTGGGAAGAAGATGATTGGAGAAAAAGACCTACCGATCAATAAGCTCTTCTTGTCTTTGTCGATTAATAACATCCTCAATAATCATTCGCTCCTCTGGGGTTAAGTGGGATAAATCCGGTTGTATATCGGCCCCCGGCACCTTGGGCTTAAAAACCGCTTGAACGGAGCCCTGGGTGACTTTTGCCGATTGAGATGGTGTTATCGATTGTGACTGTTGCATGGTAGGGGTGCATTGAACCAAGAAGAATAAGGTTTTCGAGAACTATATCAGGATCAATAAGGATGTTATTACTATATTCCACACGGTAAAGTTTAAATTTGTTCTTCAGTATTACGTTGGTCCAGCATTGGGAGAGCATTATAAACAAACACAAAATGCAATATATTAGACAGAGGGAAGAATAGACTATCCGGATGAGTTTGCCTTGTTTTACATATCCGAAGTGGCCAAGTGAGCAATTTAACTGAGGTTGATTTCAAAGAAGAGACCAGCTGGTATAATATGAGCTTTTGTGTATGTGCACTAGAGGGTAAGTAATACATAAAATAGCCGACTCCTCTTGCACTCCCTACTGTATTTGGTACAAGTGAGGATCGACCAAGCCAACCTTTCTGTCTTCAGTTCTGACCTTGGCCAACCAATCAGGAGAGTAGACGTTGGCGTGGCACAGACAGGTCTATACGCGTGCCTTCAGCCTCTGAGTACAGCTCACAACATCAGGGGTAGCACGCAAGCACCAAATCCCAAGCAAACATACACGGACGCACTTGAAAAGAACGCGTACGCGTAGTCTGGTTTGAAGTCAATGCAGGGTGTGGTGGTGGGTGGGTGAGCTAGGAGATGAGTGGGGCGATTGCGTATTTCTACGCTATTTCGACAGAGAAATTGTCTCATTCCAAGTGGTGGATACACTAAACGGTGACGTCAGTTTCAAAATCATCCTATGTATTTCCACAGATGTGCACAGTGTCTCTATCTAGTATTCTCTACAGTTTAAATGCTGAAATAAATTGCAATTAAACGCCCCTCAGGGTGTTGGATCAGGTAATGCTGAAGTATGCGACTTCCCAACGTAAAACTTCAATTTTTAAGTCTGATTTTACGAGATATATTTTTAAAATACTGAGAATAAAGATTTTACAGCCTCTAAGCCTCAAATTTGGAGGAGAACTAAGTGGAGTACTGCTAAGCAATAGCTGTCGTCTCGACTGTTATTTTTGAATTCCGCAAAAGCAGGAAACAAACTTTTAAATGTTCGTACTGTCAACAAGTTGTCAATTATAAGTTAATTCGGGATCGTTCAGCATAATTGATTGGATAGGGTACTCAGAGTAAATTATATAAAATAAAATGTGGTTGTTAAGTCAATATGTGCTAAATCAATCCCTGTATACTACGATTTCTTTAAAAGCTCAAAGCATTCTTCATTCATAAATACAATGACAATGAGAATAGGTGAGTGGGGTAATCCAAACCATGGAAGTGAATAGCATGCTTTCTGGCGATCAGCATACACCATCAAAATGAATAGATTTTGGTCGATACTACTGCGCTCAGAATAGACCAACATGACAGAAACTCTGATTGATACGTTCGAAGAGCGAAATTCAATGGAAATCTGCTAAAACGTGTTAAACGACATTCTAGCGAGGGAATTCGGGCCTGTATACAACAGTTAATCAAGTGTTACCCCTCTCTATCATGCTTTATCTATCAGGGAAAGTCAAAAATCTTGTCAGCCAATCTCTACGACTTACAAGTTCAAATCCACCACTCCCCTTTTCTTCTTATTATGAAAGAAGTCCCGTGGATAGCGACACCAATGGCACTGCCAACATCACAAAGCCCCAGTTAATGGACAGTATGGAAGCAGTTTTCAATGCCCTTTTCAGGAATAGTAAAATTTAATTTGGGGCTGGATTGAGGCAGTAATAGACGCGAATAGTGATAATATTCAGCAAAACTCTTTCAAAATCGTGCAATTTCCTTTTCCACGGAATTTCTTTAAATTAATTCAAGTTTTCTCTTGATTAACCACTTTCGCCCACCTGATTAGACTGTAACAGCAAAGTAAAACTTATTTTTCTATTTTGCTGCATTACAAATATTTAGTATACTTAGCACAATAGTTTCCATTCTTAATCGTTGATCGGAGTTCCTTGCATTGATTTGTTCCAAACAAAACGCATTACAACTATAAAGGGAACATTTTATCTTTTCCCAGAAGAAATAGTCACATTTATCACCATTTTTACTTTAAGTGAAATATAACGATAGAGGACTAAATTCTATTACTCAAAATGTGTGAGATCGTCACTTTTTAAATTCCCATTTCCGGTTGTTGAAACTGCCAAATTATTCCGACAATTATCCACATCCCTGTCCCGTTTTCAGTCTAAATACTTAAAGGCACTCACCCTTTAAATGCTCTTTCCATGAATGGTACTCAGATTTTAGGGGATCGGGTAAGAGGATGGTGAGATTCCAGGTCAATGAAGCTGAGAGAAATGACATGAAATATATGCTAGCATTAATTAACAATTTAAATTGAAAAATAGCGTATTAAGAAACAAAGTCGCATGCACTTTGCTAAGAAACCACGATCTAGCACTTTAGGAACTACTAATATCCAGTCTATCTGACCTAAAGACTGCATTGTAAGTACCATTTCATTTTAGAACTGGATAGGCCTCAGGATTGCTTTCATGAAGGGTTGTGATAGAGAAAACTTTGAATAATTTGTCATTGGAATCGAAAAGACACCTCTTTTTTATATGCCTCTATGGCTAGAGACATTTAGAACATTTCTTTTCCTGGGAACTTAGCCTTGGATGGACGATCACATCACCTTATGTCAAATGGAGAGGGGTGTGCGATAGACTTGCCTCCACGTGGTGCACTCTGGGCAACGTATACTCATACGGCAAAGAAGTCAATAACCCTGCAGTTGCCTTCTGATTTCACACTACCATGACCCCACTGCGTATCATGTTCGATCCCTTCTACAGTATTTATCTTACCTTTTCTCTGCCTTTGTATCTGTCTTTGTTACAACTGTGAATCATTATTCTGTCCCCCCTCTCGACTTTTTGTCACTTTGATGTCCCTCCTCCTCTCTGTAAGGCCAGAAGTCAGCTAAAGGGCTGATGATAACTATCAAAACGCTGACATTTGAAATAAATAAATATATACTGATTAGATAAGTAATGAAATCTTCATTTAGGCCTAAGCACTATAAACTTTCTAGTCGCTATTTTGCTTACGACGATTGAAGGAAAAAAGCTAATCCATTTTTTAATTTGGTTTATTGTTTCCATTTTCAACTATTTAAGACTTTTATGATAAAAATGACAACTGAAAATCGTTTGATTTGAAACATTCGTTCATGAGAAGATACGTGCATTGCAACGATCTTTCAGTAAATAGCCAATCTACTGACTGGAAACATTCTTGAATGAAACTTTAACTTATTCCTCTGTTTACCCACAATCTCAAATACTAAACTTG